CTTAATTGGCTACAACCTGACCAGTAGAAACGCCCGACATCCAGGGGTATCGATCAACCATCAAAGCGTAACAGCCTCAGTCTTGTAGGCAGAGCGGGTGATGTCGGACGCTGTACCATTACTGACGGATGATTTGGAGCCCGTGTTTACCTCCATCCAGTCGCCAAGCAAGATCCGGGCTCGAATAACTGGCAATAATAATTCCTTCTCGAACAATGAGGATGCTGATTTACACCGCGTTCAGAGAGATGCGTCCAACCAGAACTTAAATAACTGCTGCAAGCGGAATGTCGTTCGGCAAAAGAGACCTCCAAAATACGCAATTGCCTTCATTGCATCAACCTGGGGTTTCCTGACAAATGTAGAAAGAGCAATCATTTTGCCCACAATGTGGCTTTATTTCAAAACCTACTGGAGCGACGAGGTGGCAAAAAGCTTCTACGGTCCCACGCTTGCTGCTTTCAGCCTGTCCATTTTAATCACCACTCCTCTATTTGGATATGCCGGCCATGCCAATGTAAACGTAAGGTACTTGCTTATGTTCGCCAACCTCATGGAGGTGATAGGAAACGTGGCTTACCTACTGCCTTACAGTCCGTGGTTCGTTTTCTTTGGACGATTAATAGCTGGTGTTGGGGCGAGCTGCGAGTCTCCGATGTACGCCGACTTGACCCGGGCAACAGACGAGAGTGAAAGAACACCTTACATAATTGTTCTGCTGTTATCTCGTCAAGTTGGCCTTATCATCGGTCCTGCGTTCACTCTTATTCTGCATCAAATGACAATCGAAATCGGTCCCGTCCAAATCAGTGTTTACAACGGTCCGGGCTTAGTCATGGCTGTGTTGTGGGTTGTGCATACACTGCTTATTTTCTTCTTTTACCCTCATCTGGACAAATTCGGCCAAGTAGTTGAAGACTCCCGGCCGGGTGAGGCCACATCATCTCCAACGGAGGCTACTCCGAAGCATTCCCGTCAACCGTCGGATAGTCGAATCCAAGCTGCCTTCGCAGGATACGGACAATACCACATCGTCACGTTGTACTTCGTAATTTTTAGCGCTTATTTTTGTGTGATGTCGT